ATGACAAGGGAAGCTGGCCTGGGTATTGTGGTGGTATTGTTATTAAGGTATGACATCTATACTGTAGGGTTTTATGTGCCAGTATAAAGAAACACAAAGCTAACCTCAAAATCATGTCCTGAACAGCCGTGTTGAAATGTTGAGTGCCAAGGATGCCAAAGTAGGTTTGATATGATGTCAGCACCTAGCACAAGAGCTGGTGCATAGTAGGTATTCAGTGCATATTGTGAAGGTCAATCTAGGCTTAACAGAAGAGTACTCTATGAATTATTTTTTATCCTGTGGATGTGGAGAAGGGGTGAGGCTCTCTCTTGCAGGCACTGGCCAGCCTTGGTTCAAAAGTATACATAGTCATGGAACTGATCTAGGAGTTTTAAATAGAAACATGAAGGAAGGGAGAGGAGGAGAGAATGAAAATTTATCTGTAACAACACAAAAACAAATTAAAAGACAGGCTTCCTTTGCCTATTTTCATTTTGATATTCGGCACCCATGTAAAGAGGCAAAATACAGAAAGATTTAAAAGGCAGCTCTCCTGGTTAACATGTCGACTGTGCAGGGACTACATTGATCAAGAAAATATGACATATTAAATATTTCTTGTTTCTTTTTCCCAGTGTCTTTTTCTCTTTCTATTGGGAAAGGCTTTTCTCCAGCTGACTTCTCTCTGATCTTAAAAAAAGAAAATCACCTTTCTTGCTGAGGTTCCTCTTTATTATTGTAGTATTTTGGATCAGAACATACCATTTAATTTTTATCATAGGTAAAATTAGTAAGAGCTTTTCAGTGTGAGAGTTGCTTTCTCTATAAAGTTAAAGCAAAATCATAATTGTTAATTTTTGCTTATTAATACATGCATATGCTATATGGTTCTATTTTATTAAATTCATACCTATTTTGAAATTATGTGACACTTTCCCAGATGATTACACTATGAACAATGATTTAGATAAACCTACAGAGATGAAAAATCTTTAAATGGTGATGGTTGGGCTGGACTTCAGACTACTGTTGTGGATGCAGCATTAAAGCCTATGACCCATCCCCCAGATTTCTTGGACAGGGACCCAATTATACCTCCTCTTTTTAGGCCCTCTTATCTGTCTGATCTGTTACTGAATTGTTCATGTGCCTTTGGAAGTCTTTAAGCTCTCCAGTAATCAGGATTTAAACAGCATCCTGATAATAATTAAATAAATTTATATTAATAGGTTTTCCTCAGGACTTCCCCTTCAGTATGTTGGTTATTTCTGTTTTAAGCATTCACAGCATTTAAGGGTTGTATTCTATCATTATACTTTTAAGAATGAGACTACACAGAATAGGTGGAAAAATAATGGTTTCTTTTTGAGTTAAAAAGATATCTTAGAGAAATTCTTAGATTGTAACCCTTTTATTTTATACTAGAGACTCGGTGCACGAAATACGTGCGGGGGGGGGGGTGTCCCTCAGCCCAGCCTGCACTCTCTCCAATCTGGGACCCCTAGGGGGATGTCTGACAGCCGATTTCGGCCCGATCCCCAGGACAGTTGGACATCCCTCTCACAATCCTGGACCACTAGCACCTAATCGCTCACCTGGCTGCCTGCCTGAACTCCTTTTTGCCCCCTCTGCCAACCTGGTCACCTCCAACTTCCCCCCTCTGCCAGCCTGGTCGCCCCTAACTGGCGACCCCTAACTGATCCCCCTCCGGCTTAGTTGCCCCTCATTGCCCCCCTTGTCAGCCTAATCACCCACAACTGCCCCCCCCCCGCCAGACTGGTCTCCCCCAACTACACCCCCGCCAACCTGGTTGCCTCTTACTACCCCCCTTGCTGGCCTGGTCACCCCCAACTGGCTCCCTCTGCCTGCCTGGTCACCCCTAACTGCCTCCCCTCCAGCCTGGTTGCCCCTCATGGTTCCCCCTGCCAGCCTGGTTGCCCCACGCAGCCTGCTGTTCAGTCGTTTGGTTGTCCCTCACTAAACCCTTGCCGGCCTGGTTGTAGGCAGCCATCTTGTGAGGGCATGAGGGTTAATTTGCATATTGCCTCTTTATTATATAGGATGCCAAAAAGTTGAGATTAAATAATTGGTGGTTTCTGAATCTCCCAAAAGAAAAATTATTTTTAAACATGTAATTATGCTTGTTCAATCAAAATATATTATTTTTCAACATATAATTTTGGGCCCTGATCGGTTTGGCACAGTGGATAGAGCATCGGCCTGCAGACTGAAAGGTCCCAGGTTCGATTCCAGTCAAGGGCATGTACCTTGGTTGCGGGCACATCCCCAGTAGGAGGTGTGCAGGAGGCAGGTGCTCAATGTTTCTCTCTCATCGATGTTTCTAATTCTTTATCCCTCTCTCTTCCTCTCTGTAAAAAATCAATAAAATACATAAAAAAACATATAATTTTGCAACTTTAATGAACATTTACTCAGTAAATCAATTGACATAGTATAGTTTTTATGTTTTTCTTAATAAAAATTGAGCAGAAGACTGTGTGTGATGAACACATCATTTTAACTACTTAATATCTTTCCCATTTAAATAGATATAGAAAGGGGTATCTATTTAAACTAATTATTTTTAAGTCTACATTCTTTAATTAAGGAAAAAATGCTGAGGTATGCTTCTTTGAGCTTTCAAAACTCTTCTTGCTTTTTGTGGTGCTTCATTAATTGAGTAAATGATCCTGTAACTGAATATAATTTAGTCAGTTATGTGAAGTTGTGGTGATCATTCTTTGATTATGACTGAAATCTATAATTGGAAGAAGGAAGAAAATAGTTTTATTTATATGACTGTATTACTTTGTGATATAATTATTTCTTCCAGATGAAATTCTGTAAAAATTAAATTAGTTAATAGACTTTTGAACTAAGGATACTTTAGAATTCATCTGTTGCAACAACTTCATGTTACAGACAATGATATTGAGACCCAGATTGCAGATAAATTTTCCAGGAAGACACTTTGGATCAGAACAAAACCCTGGTCTCTGGTTTCTTTGTTCAGTGATTTTCGCTTTGTGATGCATGTTGTTCCCAATACCAACCTAGATGCTATTAAAAACAAAGGGAGGGTGGGGAGAGTGCCAGAGAAGGGCATGGATCCTTTCAGTGAACCTGCTCAGGTTAGGGGTTCGTTCAGTGGGTGTCCAGCATTTGTCCTTCCACAGTGGGGAAATCATGCTAATAAAACCGATGTTTGCTTTTTAGGTGAGAGTTACGTGTGTGCATCGAACGAACCATTTCGTAAAGTTGATTACACCAAAAACATTAATCCAAACTGGTCTGTGAACATCAAGGGTGGGACCGCCCGAGCCTTGGCTGCTCCCACCTCGGTGAAAAGTGAAGTGAAGGAAAGTAAAGATTTCATCAAACCCAAGCTAGTGACTGTGATTCGAAGCGGAGTGAAGCCTAGAAAAGCTGTGCGGATTCTTCTGAATAAGAAGACCGCCCATTCCTTTGAACAAGTCTTAACCGATATCACCGAAGCCATTAAACTAGACTCAGGAGTGGTCAAGAGGCTCTGCACCCTGGACGGAAAGCAGGTACGGTGATTCTTAACCCCCAGCGCCCAATCTTACTTTTAAATTCTCCTTGTACCGTGGCAGTTACATGTTTGACAATATGAGCTTTGTATCTGCTAGATATTTTAGTAGAGTGTGTGTGTGTGTGTGTGTGTGTGTGTGTGTGCGCGCGCGCGCGCGCACGAGCACATGCTTGCATGTGTATGAATTAGCCTTTATCATGAAAATTGTAAGCGGCTCACCTGTCTCGTTTACACAAGTATCTCAAAATTATAGAGAGAGAAATCTATACGTCTTATGGTCACTGGAAGGGAAATGTCAACTTGTGAGGGAAAAGTGTACGTTGAAGAGGCTTCCTCCAGTAAGTGGGATGTTCTCCACTTAAGAATAAGAACACCTAATAACTACTAGAGTCATTATGGGTTTGGGGAAGCCACAGAAGTAAAAATTAAAGATATTTAACATGTTTTTTTAGCAAAGCTTCTCCTCCCCACTCATGTAAAATAGGAAAATGCATTTAAAGGAAAATATTTTCATGAGAATGTCCATATGAATTTCATAGGGAAGAATGGAGGTAATTAATCAGCATTTCTGAAAAAAAAAAAAAAAACCACAAACATAAATTACACAGGGAAATGCATGCCAAATTATGGTAACAATATACCAGGAACTCTAATGGACTAAAAAAAAAATTGGGCAAATTGCAAGTACGCATGAATAGCAGTTACACAAATACTGGGTTTTGCCACAATCAGATTATCATTCCTAAAAAGAAACATGTGGTTTCTGAAGTGTATTTTCTCTAGTTTCAATAAGGTTAAATTGTTTATATTTACATTGTATAAACATAGTTTCCAGTATTCACTTTGTTTCTTCATTTCATTTTGTTTCTTCTCTTGAAAAGAATTTATTTTGAAGTGTTTGGCTCATGTAGTGCTGAAAATGAATAATACTAAACACTGGAGCAGTGTCTTCTGGCAGGGGAAAAAAATAGTTTTCTAAGACCAGATCTAGTTACTACGTCACTTCCTGGATCATTAACAAAATTTTAAAAATAGGTTCTAAAAATTCCAGTAGAGTTTAATGAAGTTATGACTTCTCTAATTAATTAAATTAATGATTAAAAGGCAGCCTGCCCCAAGACAGGTTCAGATGACTGGGAATAGCCACTTTCCAAGTTGATTTATTCTGCAAGTAAGTGACCACAAGGAAAAGGGAGATTTGATAAGTCAAATAGCTAATTCTTGGTGGACACGGGGGAAATACGAGCTATAGAGACAGATATTTAAGATGCCTAACAAAAGAAAAGAAAATCATAAGTATGCCAAATTAGAAAACCTAAGTGGCATATAAACAGTACATGCAGATGAGATTTTAAAAATTGAAACTTATTTGGAAATCTCCAAATGAATGTTTTTAGGGAAATTTTAAGTGAAATAAAGAAGTTGAATGTCTAATTGAAATAGTAACCATTGAAATTTTAATAGTTAGCTAAAAAAAATTTATCTTCAAAAAGACTCCAGACTAGAAATATTTATATGGAAAAATGTTGACTAAAGCACAAGCAATCCCGAATCATCAACATATTAAAGAATAATATACACTGCTATGAGTAGGATTTATGACAGGAATGAAAGGATGGCTTATTGTTAAGAAACCTGTTAATACATGGGATCTAGAAGATAAAGTTATTGCACACATAATCCCAAAAAAGATATCACAAAAGCACTTGCTAGAATACAAAATCTAAGTTCAATTAGGGATTTAGTAATAAAAATGGAGAATTCCCCAACACACTGAAAAATCCTCTCTGAAACAAAAGGTCTGTGTAATTGGTATACAAATGAGATACTGGAAGTATTTCTATGATAATCAGGTAAGGATGCCTGATAGCAGCAGTATTCAACATTCTTCTATACATTCTTCCTGATTTTTATTTATAGTTTAATTGCAATTTCAATAAGAATCTAAATGATTTTGGGGGAAGCAGGGGGAGGGACACATGACAAAGTGATTTTAAAAGTTAATCTGGAAAAATAGGCAGGAAAATTTTGGAAATAATGATTAATGGGCTCTCATGCTACCAGATATTAAATCACCATTCTCATACTATACCAAAAATAAATTCCAGGTGTTTTAAAAATATTGATGTCAAAATGAAACCAAAGAACTAAAGGAAAAGATGTCAATAGTTATGGTGATACGGGAATGGATTTTCTAAGCATACACGTAGTGGGAAGATCACAAAGGAAAAGGTTGGTTAGACAACATAAAAATTAAAACTTTCTCGATGTTATAAGCAAGGGTTATATACTTTTACGTTAAATCATAATAGTTTAATATGAAAAAAACCTTAACACTGCAATGCAAAATGAATCAAACACCAAACAGACAATTTGAAAAGGTAGAAATATAAATACTAAGTATAAGAAAGCACAGTCTCACTAAATAAATATGCATGAAAACAATATGATTTTTTTATATTTAAAGTTGACATGTTTTTGAAAAAGAAAATGTCCATTATATTTCGATATGCAGTTAATTGGCATTCTCAATGAATGATGGAAGTGTAAATTTCATAATCTTTATGGAAAGCAGTTTGTTTTGTACTATACAAATGTCCTTTCCATTTGAACTACTAACTTATCCTAAATAACCTCAGATGCCAACATAATTATGCATGAGAATTCATCCCAGCAATAAGATCAAAAAATTGAAAACAATTTAAAATCCCTAAAATAGAAAACAGTTAAATAATATTACCATAGCATTCATAGGAATGGCCTTTAAAAATTGTTTGGGGGGCAATTTAAAGACATGGGAAAATGTTAAGTGAAAAAGGCAAGAAATAAACTCTGTAGTATGGTTTCAATTTTGTGTTAAGAAAAGTAGAGGAAAAATTAAAAAAAAAAGAATTCAGAAGGAAACACAATCATAGTTGCCATCAGAAACCTAGTACTTGCTGTTGTGATTTCTACTATTTCTTCCTCATGTCTGTTTAAAGGCAAAAACTCAAGCACTGAGAAAGAAAACAAAGACCAATTTCAATCAGATTGTGGAAATTAAAACATTGTGAGTTAATCCTTGAAATTTTGGCATATGGCTATAAAATGTTACAAGCATCACTTTTGTCACTGTTTAGGTCTAAACATGATTTCCCATGTGCAAAGAGAAGATATATTTTTAAACTTTCAAATAAAATTTCTTTTGGAACAATTAGATTTTGGTTTTCATAGGCATAGTTTTGGATACTGTATTTTCGGATTGCCAGGTATCCTTCAAAGCTATAGTCTTCTTGGCGTTGATTCAACATCTGTACTTTAGATAGACTTGCTATTTGAAACCTCATGTCTGTTGTGTGGTTGATATGTTATAAAGAGGACATTAAATCTTGCTTTGAAGTAGCATAAGAAATTTGTCTTATGCTTAAGATGAATGCATATCTTTAAATGGGCATTGTTCCGATTTTACTTTACAAATTGATTTTTTTTTTAGGGGACATGTAAAACTATTTGCTTCCTGAAAATTCTCAAGAAAAGGACAGCTTTGCTTAGGTGAAGAGAGAGAAATGAGAAAAGAAGTAGGCTCTGCTAATGAGTTGTTCCTGCACAAAATTTTAGGCCATCTACCTCAACTTTTTATGTTCTTTCCTACTCAGATTGGTCGTTTTCATCTTAAATTAATCTGATCTTCGACACAAGCAGAGATAAACAGTTTCTAGGCAGTTCATTATGCAGTCACTGATTCCATTCCTGATACCCATGATAGAGTTTTAAGGGGTCCTGGTTATCTTTTTTATGGGTTTAAAAGCTTTCCCAATTGAAGGGGCAAAGAATGGCGTGGCATGTGCTAGTAGCATTTATGCTGGTAACACAATGTCCCTTGAGTCTTTTCTGTCAAAATGGATAATCACTTCTTCCTAGTGGTATTGACTCAATTTACAAGGCCTGACGTAGTTAGTACAACTAACTCATGTATTCTGTGTCTCTTGTAAAATCACTTCAAATAAAATCAAATGTTAGGATTTATCCATTTTAACTCTTGGGTTTGCTTTTGTGTAGAGCAGTGGCTCTGCACTGGGTATGTTTGTGCTCTATGGGACAGTTAGTGGAGTTTGGAGTCATGTTTTGATGCCACAACTGGGGATGAGGATTCTACTGGCATGTAGTGGGTAGAGGCCAGGATGCTGCTATCTACAGTATCCTACAGTACACAGGACAGACAGACAACAGACACAACATAATTCTCAGGGATCCAAAATGTAAATGGTGCTGAGATTCAGAAAACCAGGTATAAAGTAAACGAAGTGATTCAAAAGGAGATGACACTTGTTTGATTATTAACTTTATCAATGAGGCCACATGCTAAACTTTATTTCAGTACTTAAAGATTTCCTCATAGCCTGTCTGTGCACTTTTTATCTCATTGGGGCAGGTGTGTTGGAATGCCATGGTTTATGGTCTTTGTTATCCTGGATTTCCATTTATTTGTCTTTGTTGTGTAGGGCTGATATGTAGTTGGGGAGTACAGCTTCACAGGCAATTAAAGACGGTTTCACATGTATTTAAAGAAAGTCTAAGAAATGATGATTTTTATGGAGTTTTAAATATTTAATACTTAAAGTGATGTGATGAGCATCAATTTTTAAAGAACTACACAACCTATGCATTTATATATGGGGTGACTAGAAAAAAGGATCTATAAATAGAAGTCATGACTATTCTCTTCAATAACTTTTTAAACTTGCAATTAATTTAGATTAAATGCTTTACTTTTGTTTTCTTTTTACAAATGGAACATTGAACTTTCACATTAAAGGCATTATATAGGAAAACAAGGTTTACTTTTTTAAATTTCAAAAGTCAGGGTGAGTTTCTTGTAATAAACTGCAGCAGGGGAGTTCTTTATAAAAATGTCTTTATTCTGTTAAGGGACTGAAAGGTCCAAATATAGCTTTTGTCCACATGTGTAAAAAATTCTAACTTTTAGCTTTCCCAGAAACAGCAGAGTTTTAACATAAA